AAACAAATTCTACTAGATATAAGGAAGGAAATAAACAGCAGCCTTGTATTGATGATAGCCAGGGACTTCGCGGACACTCCACTGATAGAACTAAAGAGATCATTAAGGCAGAAAATCAACACTTGGCTTAAGCGGGATTCTATAACAAATGGACCTAACAGACATTTATAGAACATTCTACCCAAAAACTGCAGAATATACATTCTTCTCAGCACATGGGACATTTTCTGAGATATATATTTGTTAGGCCACAAAACAAGTCTCAGCAAAGAAAAAATTATGATCACACTATGTTTCTTTTCAGACCACGGTGGAATAAAACTAGAAATCAATTGTAAGAGGAACTCACAAAACTACACAAACACATGGAAATTAAAAAACCTGCTGCTCAGTGATCCTTGGGTCAATGATGAAATCAAGATGGAAATTAAAAAATTTATCAAATTGAATGACAAAGGTGACAGAAGCTTCCAAAAATCTTTGGGATACAGCAAAAGCAGTGCTAAGAGGGATGTTAATGGCACTAAATGTCACATATCATAAAAAAGATCACAAATTAACCACCTAGTGTCACACTTCAAGGAACTAGGAAAAGTAGAACAGACCAAACCCAAAGCTAGCAGAAGAAAAGAAACAACAAAGATCAGAGTGGAACTAAATGAAATGGAAACCCAAAACACAATATAAAGAATCAAGAAAACAAAAAGTTGGTTCCTTGAAAAGATAAGATCACTAGACCACTAACTAGATTAACCGGAAATATTAATAGAAGAGAAAGGATTCAAATAAGCTCAATCAGAAATGAAAAAGGAAATATTACACTTGATACCATGGAAATACAAAATATTTGAGACTACCGTGAAAACCTTTATGCACACAAACTAGAAAATCTAGAGAAAATGGATAAATTTTTGGAAACACGCAGCCTGAATTGAATTAGGAAGTAATAGAAATTCCGAATAGACCAATAACGAGTGGAAAGTTTAAAACAGTAATATAAAAACTCCCCATAAAAAAAAAAAAAAAAAAGACCAGTATTCACAGCCACATGCTACCAGGCCTACAAAGAACAACTGGCAACTGTCCTACTGAAACTGTCCCATAACATTGAGAAGGAGGGAATCCTTGCTAACTCATTCTGTGATGCCATTATCACCCTGATACCAACATCTGGTAAGGACACAACAAAGAAAACCATAGACCAATATCCCTCATGAGCATAGATACAAAAATCCTCACCAAAATACTAGGAAGCCAAACCCAACAGCAATATCAAAATATAATTCTTCATGATCAAGTGGGTTTCATCCCAGGGATGCACAGATGGTTCATCATACACAAATCAATAAATGTGTGATTCACCACATAAAAAGATAAACAGAAATCATGTGATCATCGCAATAGATGCAGAAAAAGCATTGAGTAAAACCCAGCATCCCCGCATGATAAAAAGCCTCAACAAACAAGGCATAGAGGGAGCATACCATAAAATAAACCCACAGCCACATTATAGTGAATGGGGAAAAGTTGAAAGCATTCCTCTTAAGAACTGGAACAAGACGAAGGAGAAGGATGCCCACTGTCACCACTTCTTTTTTTTTCTTTTTTTCTTTTTTTTTTTTGAGACAGAGTCTCGCTTTGTTGCCCAGGCTAGAGTGAGTGCCGTGGCGTCAGCCTAGCTCACAGCAACCTCAAACTCTTGGGCTCAAGCAATCCTGCTGCCTCAGCCTCCCAAGTAGCTGGGACGACAGGCATGTGCCACCATGCCCAGCTAATTTTTTCTATATATATATATTAGTTGGCCAATTAATTTCTTTCTATGTATAGTAGAGACGGGATCTTTCTCTTGCTCAGGCTGGTTTTGAACTCCTGACCTCGAGCGATCCGCCCCCCTCGGCCTCCCAGAGTGCTAGGATTACAGGTGTGAGCCACTGCGCCCGGCCTGTCACCACTTCTAGTCACCATAATATTGGAAGTCCTAGCCAGAGTAATCAGGAAAGAAAAAGAAATAAAGAGCATATAAATCAGGAAAGAGGAGGTCAAACTGTTTGCCAGTGATATGATCTTTTGTCTAGAAAACCCTCAAGACTCCACCAGAAGACTCTTAGAATTGATAGATAAATTCAGTAAAGTCTTAGGTTATAAAATTAATGTACGTAAGTCAATAGCATTTCTATATACTAATTACAGTCAAGCTGATCGTCAAATCAAGAACTCAATACCATTTACAATAGCTACAAGGAAAGTGAGATACCTACTTAACCAAAAAGGTGAAAGGTGTTTACTAGGAGAACTACAAAGCACTTATGTTCTTTCAACATCTATGATGAAGGAAATCATAGAGGACGTAAACAAATGAAAAACATCCCATACTCATGGTTTAGAAGAATCAGCATTGTTAAAATGTCCATACTGCCCAAAGTGATTTACAGATTCGATGCAATTTCCATCAAAATACCAATGTCACTTTTCACAGATTGAGAAAAAACAATCCTAAACTTCATATGGAACCAAAAAAGGCCCAAATAGCCAAAACAATTCTAAGCACAAACAACAAATCTGAAGATATCAGGTTATCTGACTTCCAGTTATACTACAGAGTTGTAGTAACCAAAAGAGCCTAATACTGGTATAAAGGTAGACACATAGACCAATGGAACAGAATAGAGAACCTAGAAATAAACCCATATATCTACAACCAACTGATTTTCAACAAAGCAGACAAAAACGTACACTGGGATGTACGATTTTGATAAGTGATACTAGGAACATTGGACACCTATTTGATAAGTGGTGCTGGGAACATTGGTTAGCTACATGCAGAAGAATGAAACTGCATCCCTATGTCTCACTATATGTAAAAATTAACTCAAGATGGATTAAAGATTTAAATGTAAGACTTCAAATCATAAAAATTCTAGGAGAAAACATAGGGAAAACTCTCCTGGACATTGCCTAGACCAGGGGTCCTCAAACTTTTTAAACGGGGCCATTTCACTGTCCCTCAGACCGGTGTAGGGCCATTGGAGAGTACCGCACACATTCCACACATGCGCACTGTGGGCCCGGGATGAGTCGGCTGCTAAGCAGGAGAGGCAGCGGCGGCAAAAACACCCAGCGGGCCGGATAAATGTCCTTGGCCAGCTGCAGTTTGAGGACCCCTGGAAAGAATTTATGACTAAGACCCCAAAAGCAAATATAGCAACTATAAAAATAAATAAATGGAACTTAATTAAACTAAAATATTTCTGCACAGCAAAGGAAATGATCAGAGTAAATAGACAACCTACAGAATGGGGGAAATACAAACTATACTTTCAACAAAGAGCTAATATCCAGAATCTATAGAAAACTCAAACCAGCAAGAAAAAAACCCATCAAAAAGTGGGCGAAAAACATGAAGTTTTTTTTTTCTTTTCAAAAGAAAATAGACAGATGGCTAATAAACATGAAAATATACTCAACATCATTAATCTGGGAAATGCAAGTTAAAACCAGAATGAGATATATCACCTTACCTCTGTCAAAATGGCCATTACTAAAAAGTAAAAAAAAAAAAAAGATGATAGATGGTGGTACAGATGAGGTGAAAAGAGAATGTTTATACATTATTTTTGGGAATGTAAACTTAGTACAACTACTATGGAAAGCAGTATGGAAATTCCTCAAAGAACTAAAAGTAGACCTACCATTTGATCCAGCAATCCCACTGCTGGGTATCCACCCACCAGAAAAGAGACCTGCACCTGAATGCTCATTGCAGCACAATTCACAATTGCAAAGATAGGGAATCAACCAAAGTGCCATCAACTGATGAGCGGATAAAGAAACTGTGGTATGTGTATGTATGTATGTATGTACACACACACACACCTCATGGGTTACTACTGAGACATTAGAAGGAATGAAATAATGTCTTTTACAGCAACTTGCTTGAAACTAGAGACTTATCCTAAGTGAAGTATCTCAGGAATGGAAGAACAAATACATGTTCTCACTTAAAAGTGGGAGCTAAATGAGAGATACATGATCATAAAATGGTGTAATGGACATTGAAAACTAAGGAAGGGGGGGGAGAGTGGGAGGGAGATGAGGGATAAAAATCTGCCTGTTGGGTACAGTGTACACTATTCTGGTGATGGGTACACTGAAAGCCCTGACTTTAGCATTATATACATTTATTGAAATAAAAAAAAAATTAAACCTATACCTGACTTCAGGCATTTTAACCACTAATAAGAATAGCAAACATTTAAAAAACAAGCATCTATTTATTTTGTTGATTAAATTAATCTGTGTACTCTACCTTTAGGCTTTCCTTCAACCAAGAGCAAAATGGTGGCATACCCCTGCGTTTTGAAAAATGAGTTTATGCTGGTTTAATTGAGGCAGGATTGGATCAGCCTTTTGGGTTCCTTGTTTTTGTAATTTTATATTTGGGTACAGAGCCAGAGCTTAAAAGCTTTGTATCTAGTGCATATGACACAGTATATATAATAAACACTTAACAAATGTGTGAGTGAATTTGGATTGATTGATTGAATTGATTAAACCTAATTAAGATGAAGCAGGAACTGTTTTCATAGGGTGCAGTATCTTCAGATGTTGAGACTTTCGCAGTTAGCCTAGTAAAATGAACTTGGCACTGGTTGCAGACCACTGGAAAATATTTTCAGTAATGTGGTAAGAACATACTGTAAGAATACAATTGTAGATGTATTTCATAGTTTGAAACTTTCAAAAGGCTTTTTTTGATAGAACTAATATATATTTACAGTAGAAATTGTGTGAAACATGGTAAGGAAATGAAGGAGATAATACAATTTACATATAAGTCTATCACCTGGAGAAAGGCACTATTAGCCACTTGGTGTATTTGTGCATACAGACGTCAACACATAAATAAAATAGAGATTGTATACATTCAGTTTTGAATTCTTTTTTTGTTTTATTTTGAATTCAATTAAATGTTTTTCCTCTTTAATATTTGAACCTTACAGGCCCCTTTACAGATGTAGTCACTACAAATCTTAAATTGCGAAATCCATCTGATAGAAAAGTGTGTTTCAAAGTGAAGACTACAGCACCTCGCCGGTACTGTGTGAGGCCCAACAGTGGAATTATTGACCCAGGGTCGACTGTGACTGTTTCAGGTAGCAAATCGTGTCCTGAATATATGTACATTTTAATTTTGACATTTTATGATTATGTTTAATTTGGTTTAATTATTTGGGTTTCAGCTGGAGGGAGGGAAATCTTATGTTACTCTGGCTTTGCCTTTAAAGATGTCCATTGTCCTACCATATGCAAACTGTCATGGAAAATTTCTTACTCTCATCTTGTGGGGGGAGGTATTTGTAAATAATTATTTTTAAGTCATTATCAATTTAAAATTTTATATCTAACCTTTGTTTCTGTAACTCACCACTACATTCTGCTTTTATTATTTTATCTTTGAAAAATCACACCATTTTTGTTATTGGTTATTCTCATTTAGATCTTGAGCTTGTTACATATTGCATGCAGCTATAGAAGTGTTGTCATTCTTTTGCTTGAAAAAGTACAATGCCAGGCTGAGGCGGGAGGATTGCTCAAAGGTTTGGAGTTTGAAACCAGCCTGAGCAAGAGTGAGAGCTCTTGTCTACTAAAAATAGAAAGAAATTAATTGGCCAATCAAAAAATATATAGAAAAAATTAGCCGGGCGTAGTGGCGCATGCCTGTAGTGTTTGTAGCTCCAGCTACTTGGGAGGCTGAGGCAGAAGGATTGCTTGAGCCCAGGAGTCTGAGGTTGCTGTGAGCTAGGCTGACGCCATGGCACTCTAGCCCGAGCAACAGAGTAGTGAGACTCTGTCTCAAAAAAAAAAAAAAAAGAAGTACAGTGCCTCTTTTTTTGCCTATTGAATCAAATCAGATGAGTCTTTGCCTTTCATTGTGAATGCCAACAGTGTCCTGCATTTCAAATCTTTATTTTTATTACTGTTATGTCTTTATTTGTAGTTGAAAAAGTATGCTTAGTTCCTGCAATATATGGATTCCTTACTCCTCCTGTCGAGTCAATCTATGCTGGTGCCACAGTTAATGCCCTCTGTAAACTGTTCCTTTCTTCCCTCAGATAGTCCCTCTGATTTCTGAGGATGATACTCCTTAACTATATATCTAACATACCTGGGAAATAAGAAGTATGAGAGTGTATATGGTTCCTTTATGGGAGAACCTCTTAAGTTTGTAACAGTAGTTCTCATCTCCTACTTTGTGTTGTGATAACATGGGGAGCATGAAAACACATGAGTTCATCTCATATCAGAGTCTCTGGGGGCATGGCTTAGAAATGCGTACATTAGCAACAACAATAAGAATGCCTGGGTGATCCTTACAAGCAATCCTAAAATATAATTTTGTATCAGTTTATAGTTTTCAAATCCATAGCAGATTAAAAATAGCAAATTATACAGAGGTGAGAGTCTTTAGCAGGCACCTTGAGAATATTTAGAGGTGGAACCTGACTACAAGGGTAATAAAGGACAAACCATAGTCAGAGTTCTTGGTGACACTAAATCCTCCTTCAGTAGGTATAGGCCAAAACTCAAGAGCTAGGAAGCTCTAGAAAATAAGATGTTTTTAGTGACTCTTGTGGTAAGACCTGGGAAGAATCCTTTCATGTTTGCTTGCATAGTCAAGTTCATCAGTTCCTCAGAAAGATGGATGAGCAGTATGATAAAGGAAGCAATGCATACATTCTAATTGTTGCTCTCTACATCTTTAAGCCTTTAGCTAAATTGGAAGGAGATAGAATTATTTCAGTCCACGTAGTTAAAAATAGTTTATTGGTATAAACAGCTATATACCTAGAATCCATAAAACTATTACAGAATGACTTTTTTTGGAGGGTTCCAGATTGCTGAAGTTTAAGAACATTAATTTATTTCTTAAGAAAATTTATGCTTTTCAAAGCATTTTTCACCCCATAAACCCATTGCATTGAGCACCTGACTTACTGAAAACTCCAAACTAATTAATGATTACATAGCATGTCCTCAGATTCCTCTCCTCCAATTTGAATTTGGCTTTTCTAGTTTTTAGTGTAGTGTCTTTCCACTTAAGGAGTCACTCAGCTGTGCTTCCTCCAGTAACCTTCTCTGTTTAATTCTGTTACATGTTCGTTTCTTTTTTCCTGTGTCCCTTTAGCATTTAGTTTTGTAGATTTGCTTTTTTAATTTGTACATATTTATATTTTTGGGATTGCCTTCTCTTGTTATATAGTTTACAACCTTAGAGTATAGTTGTCATAAAGTTAACCATGTTTTTAAGCTTGCTTTTTATTCACAAATTTTTGGTTCATAATGATTAGCTTATAGTGATTGCTTAGTGAAGGCTGTTAATGGAATTTTGTTGTGCCTTCTCTTGGTTCCCTTGAATACATTTTTTTTTTTTTTTTTTTCTTTTTTTTTTTAAGTGGCAAAACATACAGAATCTTGAATACATTTTTTTAGCCATGATAGGAGTTAATGGACTTTTCAGATATATCTTATGAATAAGATTTTCTTACATAATTATTATGTCTTACATTTGCTTAATTGTATTTGTCTTTTTGATATATCTTAGAAATAATCTAAATATTAGCAGGGAGTAAGTTCTATAATACCATATACATGTTTTATATAATTGTTGGCTTATTCTTTATAACCTTTTATATTGGATTTATGTTACTCAAGTTTAGCATGACTTATAAAACCACTCAGAGCCTTAAATAACCTAAATTGAAAATCATAAATGTTTAGAAAAAATTTGAATGTTATTATTGGGACTGTAGAATAAATTCTAGAGATGAAGAGGCTATGTGTATGCTTTGTTTTCTTAGAAGATTTAAATTGTTAAACTTTTTGAATAGGTGTTTATTTAAAATCCATTTTAGAAAAATTAGTTATATTAAAACAATATATGGCAGTGTTTTTTTTTTAAGTTATCAAGTATTTCTCTTTTAAATAACCCCAGTTGTCTAATTTTAAACTATCATGAAATACTAATATGAAGCCTAAATTCACATTATAAATAGTTTTATTATAATAAAAATGATATAAATAGAGCTTACAGGCAATATAGTAGTTACTGTTGACAAAGTTTTGAAAATGTTTACAAAGTATAGAAGGGGCAGTCATAAATTCATATTTTTTTTAATAGCCATTTGTTATTTTGTGGGTTGTAAAAGACTTAGTAAATCAGAAAGGTGGGCAAATTAAAAATAATTAGAATCTATAAAGTTGATTCTGGATCCTTAATGTAAATAACCTAGTGTTTGATTTCTTGAACCTTTCTTGGTTGTCTTGAAATTTGCATATTAGTGAATGAGGTAATAGGAGTCATATGCAAACAAATGCAGAAGACAATATATCTTTTCTTCTTACTTAGTAATGCTACAGCCGTTTGACTATGATCCGAATGAAAAGAGTAAACACAAGTTTATGGTACAGACAATTTTTGCTCCACCAAACACTTCAGATATGGAAGCTGTGGTAAGTATAGAAGTTGAACAGAATTTATTTTGGGGAATGTAGTTTAAACTGTTGATTTTTGTTTAGTACTCAATAGAGCAACTTAATTTTTAGAAATTTAAAATTAGATTTTTAAAAAATCAGTAAGTCTGTTGATTGTAAATAATCCTGACTTAATTTCAAGAATGTAAATTTTGAAATAGTATTTTTAGAAACAATTTAGAAATGCTTCCACAAGAAGAAAGTCCTGTGATTGCTAGTGATGTCAGTGTGATTTTAATGGTTGGTGATAATAGCTCTAGAATTACATAAAAGTGTTGTGACATCAGATAATGATGGCAAGGTGATAAACATGGAGTGCAGCAGTGTATTCCAGCTGAGCCGAGCAGTTATACTCATTTTCTATTTGTCCCTTGAGGTGAAACCTGTTTGCCATGGTCATACTTCCTATGTCTCATGTTTGGTGTTGTTTATTTTTAGTGGAAAGAGGCAAAACCTGATGAATTAATGGACTCCAAATTGAGATGTGTATTTGAAATGCCCAATGAAAACGATAAATTGGTAAGTAGGAAAATATAAGAAAATTGGAAGCCATTGAGCTCTCAGTTTCTTTGGTTGATTTTGGTTCTCTTTTTGGCCTAGGGGTGTGTGTGTGGTGGCTATCACAAAAGACTATCACAGAAGGCTGTCACATAAGACTCAGTGCTTATTTAAGTTTAAAAAAATTTGTTACGCTTTTTTTCATTTTAAAACATTCTGTTTGTCCAAGAAGAAAGAAATACTCTTAGGTCCAAGCTGCATGTAAGAGAAGAATCATTTAATTCTACTGAGTTTTTGCCACTTAAATCACTTCAGGTTCTTTTTTAGAATGAGATGTGTATATAATAAATACACTTTATTTATATATAAATAAATTTGTATATAAGTAAAATGTAATAAATATATAATACATATAATAAAGAAAAGATTGAAAATTCTTTTTGGCAACTATATACCAGCAGTCTGGATTTAAAAATTTTAATTTACATGGATGGTTTATTCTAGGTTTAGCTATTTCCAGGTATTTTGTTCACTTTTGTTTTTGGTCAAAATCCATCTAATTTTATTTCTAGTAAATTTTATATTGCTTATTGATAGTGTGAAGCAAATACAATTTGAGGCACTGAGGGATATGTGTGTGTGTATGTGTATATATATATATATATATATGCAGTTAAAAAATCAATATATGAATGTATAGAGTGGGTTGTGGTCACTTTCCTTTTTTTCCCCTTTCGGATTGCAAATTTGAATCTTTTTCTGTGGTTCACAGGGATTTGAAAGATGAGATTTTTGTGTGTGTGACTTAATATATACGATAATATGGATAAACAGAATTGTTTGGTGCAATTTGATTATAATCTGATGTGACTCTTGCCTTGATCTGGAGGCCATTTGCTCTACTGGAAAGTAAACATGAGGCCAGGTGTGGTGGCTCATACCTGTACTTTCCAGCACTTTGGGAGGCTGAGGTGGAACCTTGAGGCCATGAGTTTAAGACCAGCCTGGCAACATAGTGAAATCACATCTGTACAAAAAATTTTTAAAGAATTAGCTAGGTGTGCTGGCACATACTTGTAGTCCTAGCTACTTGGGAGGCTGAGGCAGGAGGATTGCTTGGGCCCAGAAGTTTGAGGTTGCAGCAAGTTATGATGATGTGACTGCACTCTAGCACTGGGGACAGAGCAAGGCCCTGTCCTGAAATTAAACATGTAGATTAAATACATGGGCTCAGTTATTGTGTTACTCTTTCAGGGTAAACTGAAATGATGAAAAAGTCTTTGCATGGTAATTAGGTGTTGACCAAATTATTTATTGAATTTTAAAAGTGCCCTTTTAAAGACATTTTGAGGTATTTGCCCAAAGCAAAAGATACTGATGCATATATTTTTATTGTAAGTGAGGGTTAGATGGCATATGTTTATGCTTCCCATTTGGAGTTTTCTTTCTCTTTTGCCTAGGCTGTTAGGAAGCTAATAGCAATAGCTTTCATAGCTCTTATTATTGGAACCAAGAAAACATAATAGCACATTGTCTAGATTGACTTTTTTTTAAATTGGATATTTTCTCATTTGGAGTTTTATGGTATTTTTACAATAATTTAATAAACATAGATCTGGGTGTCTTTCATGTGGGCTTCATATTATGCTGGATAGCAGACTATTTATTTGAGGTTGTAGTCTGAAAAGAGTCGGAGCCTAGGGATTTGATACTGCTGATTAAGAGCAGTTCTCACTGCTTTAAAAACCAAACCAGAAGTTGTTGGAAATGATATGGCTACACTTGAGCCTAGCCATCTTGGAGGAGAATAGCAGGTATGCCTCCCTAAAGGTATAGCCAGTAGTAATCCAAGAAAGCAGTTTTGGATCTCCGTTAGTGCTTAAACAATTACTGAATGGAGTTCCCAGAGTCCCACACTATGGAGCATAAGCAGAAGTAATTTGGGCCTGGAACTTTTTCAGCGCAAGTATTAGTAACGTAAAGGCCATTCAGTAACTTCAAAGTACTCCATAGAGTATCTGATTCTGAACCTTGATGAGCTAGCTGTAGAGTGTATTTCACTAATTGAATTACTTGGATTTGTATATTAAATTGTAGAGAATATCTGCTAAAGGTGATTTAAAAAAATTTTTTTATTTTGGAAAACTACCTGGAAAAGTATATAGCAGTACCTAGAAAAGTATATAGCAGTACAGTGAACCTCTGTGAACCTATGACTAGCTTTAACAATTACCAGTTTGTGGTTAATCTTATTATGTCTAAATCCCATTATTTTCCATCTCACAGTTTAAGGCAAATGCCAGATATCATATAGTTTCATCTGTAACTATTTCAATATATATCTTTCAAAGTACTTTAAAAAAAGGATAAAAGAGTTTTAATGACAGTACCATTATTATGCCTTTAAAATTTTAGTGTATCATTAATATCAAACTATTCAGGCAACATTCTCATTTGTCTCACAAATGTCATTTAAGGTTTTTTTTTTTTTTTCAGTTTGTTTGATTTGAGATCAAAATAAAGTGTAAACACTGCTACTGGATGACATATTTCTTAAATCTCTTAGTCTATAGGTTCTCTCTCTGTTTTGCTCTTGCAAATTATTACTAGGTTTGCTTGTGGACTTTCCCATAGACTAGATTTTGCTCATTGCATCCTGTGGTGTCATTTAACTTTTTCTCTGTCCTTGGTATTTCCTATAATTAAAAGTTCTAGATGAGTTGTTCTCATCCAGGGGCAGTTGATTCCTGCTTTAGAGGCAATGTCTGGAGACAGTTTTGGTTTTTGCCACTGAGGGATGGAGAGGGGTGCTACAGGCATGCATCTCTCTAGTGAGTAGAGGCAAGGATGCTGCTCACCTTTCTATATAGGATGGACCCTACAATAAAGAATTATGGCCCAAAATGTCAATAAAGTTGAGATTGAGAAAATATGGCCTAGGTCCATTGATTCATTTATGATTGCATAATGGTGATATCTTGTCATTTCTACTTCATATACTACTAAGAATACTTGTGTAAAGAGAAACTTGTTTTCATCTAATATTTGGTTATTCAGTGATAGAGTTTATAAGGGCAGGATAAATGAGTCTCTCTTAAATTACAGGTTTTCAGAAAATTGCGTTGGTTCACAAGCATCCCTTTGGTGATGTACAGTTAATCTTCTTCTCTCCCTCCTTTCTTCCTTTCCTCTGTACTTTCTGTATTGTTAGAGGTCATGGATTTTAAGCTCGGTTTCAGCTCCTTGTAGTTATTATCATTATTGGTGCTCAGGTTGCCTGGTAAGGAACCTCTTTGAATTGGTTGAGTTTTTTTGACCCCGGTATTCTTTGGTAATTCTCTTGATGTTTAATATGGCAAGATTTTTCCAGGCCCAGACCTGGACTCAGCCATTTCTTCAAGCTCTGGTCCATTTCAGTGGAAGATGGCATTTTAGGACCACGATCTATGCCCTGGGACAAGATTGATATTTAATTTTGTCAGAATTTCTTTTGATCAAGATTGGAGTCATTTATCATTCGAAGGCACCTCTTCAAATGCTAAAATTTTAATGATAAAATTTTATCAGCAGCATATAGATGATGCGGATCATTTTATTTCTTGTGGTAATGATTGCATGTTATGATTGGGATATGTTCTTGAAGATCTTGGATAATTCAAAACATGTCAAATCCAACACTGATCCTGAGAAGAATGAGCAGGTACTTCTGTGAACCAACTGAAGTGGTGTTTCAGTGTAGCAATACAATAAATATGGCTTAGGATTTTTATGGCTCACTAACCTTGCCATTATGATTTTTGATGGATATTTTTAAGTGTTTAGAATTCACATTTCAAGTATTATACATAAAATGAGACTTTAAGATTTCATTTTATCACTATTTCAAGTTAATATAATTCAAATGTGCAAACGTTGTATCTTACTATATATAAGCTAGGGGTGGCTTTAATTGATTGTGTATGCTAAAAAGAAGAGTGGCCAAAACAGGGCTGTGTTTTTATAAGGCAATATTTCCCAGTGTATTAGGTTGTTAGAGTTCTGTGGTCAAGTGAGTTTGGAAAAATTCTGCAAATACCTTGTCTCCAAAGTAAATCACTTTGAATATTTGCATATTAAAGGCTCCAATAAGACTTACAGTAAAGAAATAAGTTTAGCCCAGCATTTCTTTTCTGTTTAATAAAACATAATTAACTTATGAAGTATCTGGTCTGAAAAATACACTTTTGGAAATGTTTTAATTAAATTCCTTCTTGTAGTATTACTAATCTGCAGATTCTATAAGAAATGTTAATTACTGAGAAATGTGTTTAAATTCAGTGCAACCTAGCACAGATCTAGTTCTGTTGTTAGTGGCATATTACAAGTAATCAATTTAATGTTGCCTCGATCCTTTATGGAAAATATGAAACCTTAAAGTACCAAATCTGAAGTCTTTACGATAGTACAAAATATATAGGAAAATTTTTGTTTCTTTGTTTATAATAATAAGAATGAAACCTTTTCTATCTGTGTAAAAATACAGAACACCTCTTTCTTAAATACTGCATTCATGTGGTGATGACTCTGTTGATAATTGTATCTTGCTATTTCCATGTCAGAATTGTTGGTAGGTGAAGTTGCTTAAAAAAAATCATAGTATCTTTGACACATTGGTTTCTTTCTAGCATCCATAAATAAAATTACTTAATATCCCCATTCTGTATGTTTATCTTAGATTTACTTAAACAAAATTCAGTTTAGTTTTTAACTGAGTTGCTGGTGACAACTTAAGGTTTAACATACAACTTCCTTTCCTTTTCCCTTTCACCTTTCCCCTTCCCCCTTCTTTTCTTTTTCCTCCTCCCTTTCCCCTGTGTGTTTTTTTTTTTTTTTTTTTTTTTGTAAAGAGACAGGATCTCCCTATGTTGCTCAAGATGGTCTCAAAGTTTTGGGCTCAGGGAATCCTCCTGTCTCAGCCTCCTAAGTAGCTGGGACTACAGGCGTATGCTAACACAACCTGCCTTTAAATGATTTCTTTCTCTCCTTTTAAGAAAAAATTTTTAGATGTATTTCAGTTCATCAGTGGTCCATAGCATCTTCATTTGATAGAGTTGTTTTGAGTATGGAGGGCCATTCAGCATGTTCCCTGTACTCTTGGTAGCTGGAGATGAATGATACTGAAGTGCTGTTATACAAAATGAAGTTCTTTGTATTATTAGTTCTGATTAGGTTTTGTCAACTCTGTTATGAAATACCTAATTTCCAATTAGTGATAGTGTTTTTTTTTTTTTTTTTAGAATTGAATTGTGTTGTTATTTTTGATGTTTTATGACCTATTCAGCTCTTTGTGTTCAATTCTAAAAAAATTTTGAGGGCTGAACTCTATTTGACATTTTTCAAATTTCTTAAATGTATTGCATTTCATTAATCTTTCTTCTAACATCTGATGGTGACGTGTTTTCTAGGAAATAATACTGATTTGTTTTAATGAAGATGGAAGGGCTGTAAAGAACAGGGATTTCAGGGATCTTATAAAGACTTTTTTGTTAATGTACATTGTTTTCTTTTAAGACAAAGAACAGATGGGATATCAATAAGTATTATTGGGGAGTCTCTTCCTATTTTTTGTATGGTACAGTATTATTTTTACCTCTGTTAAAGGAAGTTGAGAAGATAAGAAGAGAACTATGGAGTTACTAGCCAGAATGTCATGAGTCTTAAAATTTGTTTATTGACCGGAGGTTGTGTGTGTGTGTATATGTATATGTGTATTGGGCAGGGGGTTATTAAAAATGTTCAGATTGTTATATCAAAGGTAAGAAAACATGAAAGTGTACTTGTTCAGATATTGACAAGTATTAGTAAAAAAAAATTAAGAGCCACAAAGTTAGAGTTAGAAGTTATTCATTTTAGGAAAACATAAGGCTAGCATAAATTTAATTAAGTTATAAAGTATGTACATTTAATAAACAGAACGCAAGTAGATCATAGCTAATTTTGTTTGGGAAACAATATCAAAAGGTAGTTTCAAAACTTTTGTACTTTTTGCCTTAACATAGATATTGTTAGTATTATTTCTTATGCATAACACATATTTATAGAGTATGTGAGTATTTTAGAGCCTAATGCTTTCTGTGTCAGTCATTCCCCATATCATGCAGGAGAAATAAGAATTTGGTGCAAATCTGAGAGTATGTTTCCCATGCCATCTCAGGGTATAACTCCACCAGGGATTGCTTCGACTGCCACTGCAATGAGCAGCATCAACAACACAATTGCAACATCTGCCAATTATCACACGAAGAATGACCCCAGGGGACTCAATGTGTTCAAACAGGAGAAGCAGAAGGTTTGTTATAGGGAGCTAACACACGTAGGAATTTAACCGATATTAATGATTAAGTTAATGTAGATACTTAGCAGATGAAGTGGTATTGTGAGTATGTTATATGAAGTAGATAGAATTGAATTTTTCAACTATGCTTAAAATTATAGCAGAACCACAAAGCTCTTAAAAATAATGCACACAAACTCTACTATCCTAAAAAAAAAAAAATGTTCAGACCTTAATAAAATCTCAGTAGTGAGCAGAATTAATTTAAGTGTGAACCGTGTAATGAAGTTGGTATAAGTTTTCCTGTGACTGAGATTTGGGGAACGTAGTCTTAGAGGAAAGGGAGTATATGAAGCTTATTTGAATAGGATAGCAGGTATAGCAGTAAGGATTGGAGCTGGCAAACATTGCTGTTCAGGCAAGTATTTGTGTTTATATTAAAAAAGAGAAATGGAATTACTACTCTATATTTTGTCATTAAATACAAATGTAGTAACCTCCCCATAACTGTCATTGTTGCTTATTTACATTGGTGCCCCACATAGGAGAATTAAAACTCTAAAAACTGTAGGCCATAATTTCACTTATTAGTGTGGTTGTGTGTTTGCGGGTACACACTTAAGAGTCACTCAGGTAAAATGACAGCACATGAATAAGATAACAGTTACTTTTTGGTGGTGTGATGGGTGTTTTATGATTGCCTTTAATGTTTCTCCCTTACTGGAAACTTCAGGAACCTTAACAGCTTTAACAGGTTGCTTATATTTTGATTTGGCTCTGCAGAGGATATACATGCTAAGGCTTTTTAAAAAATAGGATCCTTTATCTAAATGGCTAATGGTTTTGTTATTTGGAGTTACTTACGGGAATTATGGTTTTAGAGAAACAGTAAATTGGTTGTTCAGAGTGCAAGAAAAAGTCTTCAGATAACCTTGTTATTCAAATACTGTATTAACTCACAGGTTAAGATCTTAATTCTGCCTCTGACAGTTCATGCCAAAACTCTTGGTTTTAGCTGCTTTGTGTACATTTTACATCCCTTACTCATAATAGTTCTAAGAATGTAGTCCTGTGTTTATGTCCTTCAGCCCTTGTTCTCCCCAAGGCTTTATTGTACACATCTACTCTGTTATTTTACCTTTCCCCTTTTATTTCTAATCCCTAGCTCCCTCTTTTTCTAATTACCTCAATAGAAGTATTAGGTTATTAAATATGAAATGTCTGATTTTGAATCAGAAGTTTAGTTTATTATACCTCAAACAATAAGCAGTACAATTAATACAAGTATGTGCTTAAACTGTCGACACAGTTTTGCCATCTTAACGGTAGCTTGCTTATGCCAGCAGCAAAGAAGCCTGGAGAGTGAGTGGCGATGAAACCGTGAAAGGTGTTTTCCACAGGTTGTTGGAATTGAATATTTTTTCTCTCAAGAAGCAGTCCAAAGCCTGGAAGTTGGTACAAGGTCTGGTGAATACAGTGGATGACAGAGACTTTCCAAGTCCAGCTTCTGTAGTTTGAGTAGCATTGTTTTTTGTGACATGTGGTCTTGCAGGAGGATTGGCCTGTGTCTGTTGACCAATCTTGGCTGCTTAATTGCAAGCATCTTCATCATTTCATCTGGTTGGTTGCAGTAGATATCCGCTGTAATCGATTGACCAGGTTTCATAAAGCTATAGTGGATAATACCAGTGCTGGACCACCAAACAGACACTGTTAGCTTTTCTTGATGACTGTTTGGTTTTGGACTGTGTTTCAGCACTGCATCTTATCCACCCATTGTGCCGAACACTTGTGATTGTCAAAAAGAATCCCTTTTTGATCACCCGTAACAATATGGTGTAGAAATGGTCCCTTTTTCGTCACATATAACAAAATGATGTAGAAATGGGTTGCCTTTATGTCTTAACAGCAAAGGCAAGCTTCGAGATGGTTTCTCTTTATTTAATTCATGCGGTAGCCATGAATTCAGTTTCATCTAGCTCATTTGTTTCAAATGGTCCAATATTGTTGGAATAGTAACATCAAACCTTGCTGCGAATTCATGCATAGGTTGAGATGGATTCACTTCCACTATAGCTTTCAGATCATCATTATCCACCTTGGTATCAGTTACTCATGTGGCTCATTTTCGAGATTAAAATCACTAGAACTTCTCAAACCGTTGACATACTGTGTGCTCATCAGCCACATCCTTCCCAAACACATTGTTGGTATTTCAAGCTGTCTGCGCTGCATTGGTTCCACGATGGAACTCATATGCGAAAATAACATGAATTTTTGACTTATCCATGGTTTCACAAAAATTGCTCTTTAAAAAAAAAAGTGAAAGATAATCACAAGCCAAAATGTACGTTTGAAAGAATGAAGATGTACCATCACAGTAAAAAAAAAAAAGTGTCAAAGTGAAATGTCAGAGATATTAACTGTCAAACTTAGTACTTAAGGAAATTGGACATTCTATATTTAATAACCTAATGCTTGAAATATTAGAATTGAAGTTCTTAAGGTTGTTAAAAGAAATTCATGAGTATCGGCATGCATTGCTTAATAACCAGAATATGTTCTGAGACATGTGTTAGGCAATTTGGTTATTGTGTGAGCATCATAGAGTGCACTTACACAAACCTAGATAGTCTAGCCTACTATACACCTAGGCTGTGTGGTGTGTCCTATTGATCCTAGGCTATAAACCTATATAGCATGTTAGTCCTGAATACTGTAGGCATTTCTAACACAATGGTAAGTATTTGTGTATCCATACACATCCAAACATTGAAAAGATGCCGTAAAAATACAATTTAAAAGAGAAAATGGCAGACCTCATAGGGCACTTACAATGAATGGGGCTTCCAGGACTAGAAGTTGCTCTGGGGTAAGTCATTGAGTGAGTGATGAGTGAATGTGAAGGCCTTGGACATTACTGTACACTACTGTAGGCTTTATAAACACTATGCTTAGGCCACATTAAATTTACAAAAAAATATTTTTTTCTTCCTACTAAGTTAACCATAGCTTTTTGTGACTTTTCAACTTTATAAAAGTTTCAATTTTTAAACTTTTTGATTCTTATAATAACACTTAGCTTTTAAAATAGAAACACATTGTACAGCTGTATAAAACTATTTTTTCTTTATATCCTTATTCTATAAGCTTTTAAAATTTTTTTATTTTTGTTAAAAATTAAGACACAAACACACACATGAGACTACACAGGGTGGTAAGGATCATTGCTATCACTGTCTTCCACATCCCATCCCACTAGAAGGTCTTCAGGGGTAGTAACACACCTGGAGCTGTCATCTCTTATGACAACAATACCTTCTTCTGGAACATCCCCTAAAGGACTTGCCTGAGGCTATTTCACAGGTTTTTTTTTAAACATAAGTAGAAGGTGTACACTCTAAAATAACAATAGAAGGTGTAGCATAGTAAGTACGTAAAACTTTTAAGTCATTAATTATCATTATCATGTATTATGTATATATAATACGTGATCGTATGTGCTAGATTTTTATATGACTGGCAGAACAGATTTATTTACACCAGCATCAGCACAAACACGTGAGTAATGCACATTGTAGTATGTATGACACTACGATGGCTAGCTAAGATGTCTCTAGGTGATAGGAATTTTTCAGCTCCATTATAATCGTGTGGAACCACTATCACATGTGTGGTCTGTTATTGATCAAAACATGTTATACAGGGCATGACTGTACAACTCATAGATGGAGAGGAATACTGCAGATAGCCTAAATAATATAAAATAGTTGAAATTCTACAAGATAAGGTATAATGTCTTGTTTTAATTGATACATAGCCTTGACCTTTCAGCTTATTTTGAGTTGCAGTGTTAAATATAATGTTAATGTAATGTTACTATTCATCAATTTACTAAGAATCATAGCATGTTGAATCCCTCTAGTTTGCTTGTTTCATGGTTCTCAGAACAACCAGTCTTCTCTTTCTGGACCAGACTGAAGCATCCCTCAAGAAATAAGCTGTTTTCCTGGAGTCAAACCTCACTAATGGAACTCCTGAATGGAAGCATATACTTAGTCACATCTGCTTAGTGGTTTCCCTCAGGCTCTTCAGATTGTCACTACAGGGGTTACTTGCCCTCCCCCCTCTCATGTTTTTAACTCCCAACTAAGTTAGGTTATATATGCTTATATTTTAAATATACATAAATAAATTAGATTTCTTTGCATCTGCTATGAATGTTGACTGGTTTGTAGTGGGCCTAAATAGTATGCAGTCCAACTGCATTCTGTTTAACTTGTTTCATCACTTATTTGATTCACTTTTGAAGTGTGTTTAAGTTAAGCTTTACTATATTCTTTGCATTTCTAGCCTTATGTTTATGCTCTACAAATTGATTATGATATACCTTCTACTTTTTTGTTATTAAAGCAATATAACATTAAGAAACATTTCAATGAAAAAAGAAAAATTTAATTCTACCACCATAAGATATTCATTGATGTATTTTTTTAAAATTTGGAGGAATGGGAAGCTACCCATCAATTATTTAACAAACGTGAAATGTTTAAGTAATTTTCGTAAGGCACAAAATAGAATATTTAACAACATATTATGTCATTTAAAAAGATAATCAAATGACATGCACATAAATGAATAAAGCAAAGTAAATATGTATGCTGATTTTATAAAATGTGCAGATGACAAATATTGGAAGATAATATAAATAGTAGTTGGGTTGATTAGATGATGGGAGATGATTTTCTTTCCTCCCCTCATGGTTTTAAGTTTTCTGGAATTTCAAGAATTTATTTAAAATAAAAATCCAGTTGTGAAGAGCTTAATGATATTTTAATTTTTTTCTCTTCACTGTTGGCCTTATGTATATTCTCTTAATTTTTTAGTCATCTTTCTAGTATAAGTATATTTTTTCCCAATTCTTAACCAAAACCTAAAGATTCTTTATTTGCCATGTTGTTGACCGTTGCCACCTCCTTTACAGAGGAAGGTAGCAGACCACTCTCATTATTGGAAGTTGGACTTGTGCTAGGATGGAATTTGAGCACACTTGGAAAATCATTTTGAAATTAGTTGTGATTAGTTTAAGGAAAAGAACAGGAAAGAATACTGGTTAGAGAGCAAAATATATCTGGAACATATTTTTAATAATGCGGGTGGAATTGGATGGTGGTAGGAGAGAGCAAGATGGCTAGAAAAAGAAAAACTCAGTAGGAATTGAAATAGGCTTCCTAAAAACCTTTCTCAACTGTGAAGACTGAAGAAAAATGGAAAAATCTGCTGACACATCGCATATATATATAGTGTTGTACATTTGCCCTTTGAACAAGCTATTAATATTTATAGTTAATATAAATTTGGCAGCTGAGATGTTGGTCAGGTGTGCAGCCTCTAATACATCTGAATATTGTGGAATGCCATAATGTTGATTTTGTAAATGTCTTTGTCAGCAGTTTATATCTGAATAAAGCAGGTTTGTCTTCATCTAAAATTTTTTTTAACAAGAATTTAAAATGAAAAAGATGACTTATTACATTAATACTGGTGTGTGATCATAAATGATGGTAGGATGAAGGGTGTTGGGGCTCTTGAGACCATAGGCTCAGAAATATTTGGGTACTGCCATAGGTGTTTATCTTCAGGGCTTTGCCACTAGTTTCAAATGGTTAAGTGTTGGTAAGAATTAAGGTCTTGGGGCTCATGGTCTTAAGTGTCTTAACTACTGCCTCGATGCTGAATCACATACATGAAAGCAAAGAGTGTTACTAATAATTTGAAAGAATCATTTATGTGTGATCATAAAAACCTCTTTGAAGGAATCATTTATGTTTAAGATCATAAACTTCACTTCCTCTTTTTTTTTTGTAATGATGCATTTATTATCTCCCTTTCAATATTTATATTATTTTTTTCCCATTAATAGAAGTTAGATTTTCTTTTCAAAGTTTTTTCTTAGGTAGTTCCTAATTTCATTGGAAAGATTACAGTAATATCCCCCTGCCCCCCAGAACCTCATTTGAATTGCAGAATCAGAGCACTAGAAATGACCTTCATATTTGGATTTTGGTTGGCGTCAGTCATTCAGCGTACTTTCATTGAGTAACTACTCTTGACCAGAGTGCTGGGTTTAGGGGTAAATACAAAGAGAAATGGCTCTTGCTTTTCCAGCCTTTGAAGTATTATAGGAAAGAACTTCAAAAATACATTATGATATATGGTAAGTGCCAGGGGTTATGGGAGTAGAGGAGGGAGGGGGTTACTTGTTTCATTTTGACTTAACGAACTGCTGACATTTACTGATTTAGTCCTTTAAAAATTAGTTCATAGATTACCATAGCATTTGGTAATTTTAAAAAGTTCTTATTAATGAAATTGAAAATAGTCAAGACTTTTCATTTAAAGAATTTTTGGAAAAGAAAGCTGTAGAATTTACATTTTTGTTTAAAACCTATAAGAAGACTTGGTTTGTTTAAAAATTCCCAATATCTTTGTAATACAGAATGATATGGAACCTAGCAAAGCTGTTCCACTGAATGCATCTAAACAAGATGGACCCATGCCAAAACCGCACAGTGTTTCACTCAATGATACTGAAACAAGGAAATTAATGGAAGAGTGTAAAAGACTTCAGGGAGAAATGATGAAGCTATCAGAAGAAAATCGACACCTGAGAGTAAGTTCTGTTGGTTGAAAATAAGTTGATTGAAATGAAGGTATAGGAAATGTATTATTAGGCCATTTTAGTGATCAGTTTTAAATTTTATCCCTGTTCCATTCTTTTTCCTTTTTCCCAATTTGATTATGTCCTGGCCTTTTCTCCACATTGCCACCCTGTTTTATAATAATCTTACTATGGCTTTTCATTGCCTGCAAGTTTCTTTCCTTGCCAGGCATCCTAGTTATTTGTGATCTGGCCTGTGGCATTGCTAGCTTTCTCTTGTTTCTAGTGTCCTGCATATCTGTGCCCCAGTCATACTGAACTGTCCCATGCCATGGCCACTAGTCATCTGGGGCTGTTGAGCATTTGAAATATGGTTTGTTCAGATTGAGATGTGTTATGAGTGTTAAATACACACTGATGCTGAAGTCTTAGTACCACAAAAGGTAAAATCTCTTTTTTGTATTGTTACATATTGAAATAATATTTTGGATATATTGAGTTGAATAAAGTATATTAAAACTAGTTTTACCAATTCTTTTTACCTTTTATAATATTCTATTAGAAAATTAAAAATTGAGCTGGACTATCCTAGAGATGCCTCTCTATTATCACTGCTCTTTTGCTGTAGTGGAAGCTCTTCCCTATTCCTAGAATGGAAGCTCTTCCCTATTCCTAGAATGCCCTGAAATCCTGTTCCTACTCACACAGCACATATATATATATATATATACACACAGACATTCGCCTTTTGGTACTCAGTTTTTTACTCTTTTTTTGGACCCTCTTTTCTCAAACAGAAAAGAAAAATTGTTTTGAACTATTGTTTCCCTTTTGTTTCCACTATACTGATTGCATCTTACTGGTCTTATTTGTTAGAGGTCTTTCTCCCCCTAGTGGGCAGTAATTGCCTTTGGGGCAAGGACCGTTTCATTTATGTTTGCATTCATTTATATATTTGATTGACTCAATGGACCGGTGAGGGAGGATTCATTTGAATATGTGTGGATTTTATGAATAATTGGCCTTTGACAACTAATAACTTGTTTCAAGACCCGAATACCTATAAATTGCTTTATAGGCTTTGTTTGAAGCTTTTTCACATCATAGTAGATGATACAAAAATGTAACTTAAGCTAAATATGGGAATTAATCTATATTTACATATTCCTTCTGTTAAGTGTATGTAGGAACTACATTCTGAATCAAAGGCACTATGTCTCAGGTTGATCTGTGAACTCCTTTTCACTGAAACAATTTGAATTGAATTTTTGTAACCGTCTCTTCATATTACATAGTAGCTCCTTGAGTGGGAACCCTGCCTTCAGCACCTGTCTGGGTAGTGGAAAGAATATCTTTATTGCACACTCACGCAGCATGAAGTTTTTAGGATGCTGTTCTTTGTTACTTTTATCTGTCTTGACTTCCACAGTTCTTTGATGAAAGATATGCTCCTTAGGATGCTCAACTGATTTATTAAAAAAGCTACTGTTTATCTCTTGGCAGGGAGGGGAGAAGTGGAAATTATAGGAGTACCATAGGTGGGGCAGGGCTGAGAAATAGGAAGAGTGAATGGGGAAGTAAGTGAGTGAGACTTCATTCCTGGTCTCTGCTCTTTATATGCTGATGTTCTATATGAGATTTTATTTGAAAGATGATTCTGCTGTTTAAAAAATAAGACAAAAGGACCTTAAAGCCACTGACTTACAGAATTAATCTTAGGCCCATTGTGATTTGTTGCCAGATTAACTTTCTTGCTCGTGTCTGATCACTACCCCCTTTTAATTCCTCTGGCCTGTGGTTCTTAATCCAGACTGTACATCTGAATCACTTCTTGAGCTTTTTAAAAATACAGATGACAGTCCCCAGACCTAGTGAATCAGAATCACTAGGAGTACTTATAAAGTTCTTCAGGTATTTGTGATTTATAGCTGGACCTGAGGATCAGTGTTCTCTTTACACAGGACTATTTAACATGAGACCCAGAAAACCCAATAATGCAAATGAAACTGTGCCAATGGGTTGTACTCTTTTATTTATAAGCATGGTAGAGGAATCGTGAAAAAATAAAAATGAACTTGCACTGAGGAAGTAAAAATCTGTCCTGCCATTCATGAGGTTGTATAACAGACACAGATAAAGCCAGCTACGTAGTTAACAGGCATCAGTATTTTTCCAAGGTAATACTGCACACAGTGTCATAACAACCTCCTGCCTTGAGTGACTACTGCTTTCTTATGAGAAACCTTGTATCCTAAAAACATAGACTGTTTAGAAACTTTACTGTGTAAAACTGTATGGGTAAGAAGGTAGCAGCCTACTCTTCCCTGGAGTCACTTTGATACAGAGAAGCAGCCTCAGTTTCCAGTGCAGATGCAGAGCTTCAGATAAAGAGGTTCCTGAATACAGTATTCCTTATCTATCTCAGTTTGAAGTCTCTGATCAAGCAGTGTTCTGTGTCCACTTTGCAATCTAGACCGGATGTGGACGCTTTTAAACACAACCTTTTCTGCTTTGAGCATATCAAAACACTGTGTAATTTAAATTACACCCTCAGCTTTCCCCTTTACTTGAATTCTGTAATACCCTATCTCCTTCCTTCAGCAAGACGCCCCTGCTGGTGTGCCTTCCCTAGTTGCAGTGTAGTCAGTAAACCTAACTGGCACAGTTTAGATTTGTTCCTGGTAGTCTTTGATATATTGGGCTAGGAGAGATATAACCAAGTTTATATACTGTGGGCCACCTTGGAAGTAAGTGTATGCGCAGAACTCTTCTTTAATTGTGTTAATTTTAGTGGGATTTTTTTCCTTCTATGTAAATATAGCCATATCTGATTTTTGTTTTTTAGGAATATATTTCTCATCTCCAGCTTTAAAATCAGTTATTGGGGTTTAATTTACATCTCATGGAAACACCCATTGTGAGTGTACAATTCAGTGATTTTTGGCAAAGTTATAGAATTACGCAAACATCACTACAGTCCAGTTTTAGAATGTTATCACCTGAGAAAGTTTCCTTGTGTGGTTAGTAGTTAATCCCTGTTCCTGTCCCCAGCCATAGGTAACCACTGATCTGCTTTTTGTCTCTAGATTTTTAGTTCCAGTAGTCTCATTGTGTCCTTATTTGTTTTTAAAAACTTCATTTTGTGCGTGGTTTTTTTTCCCCCTAGGATGAAGGTTTAAGGCTCAGAAAGGTAGCACATTCGGATAAACCTGGATCAACCTCAGCTGCATCCTTCAGAGATAATGTCACCAGTCCTCTTCCTTCACTTCTTGTTGTAATTGCAGCCATTTTCATTGGATTCTTTCTAGGGAAATTCATCTTGTAGAGTGAAGCATGCAGAGTGCTATTTCTTTTTTTTTCTCTCGACCAGAAAAAGATTTGTTTACCTACCATTTCATTGGTAGTATGGCCCGCGGTGACCATTTTTTTGTGTGTACAGCGTCATATAGGCTTTGCCTTTAATGATCTCTCACGGTTAGAAAACACAATAAAAACAAACTGTTCGGCTATTGGACAAATTGTATATTACCAGATCATCACTAGCAGATGTCAGTTGCACATTCAGTCCTTTATGAAATTCATAAATAAAGAATTGTTCTTTCTTTGTGGTTTTATTAAGAGTTCAAGAATTGTTCAGAGTCTTGTAAATGTTATTTTAATAATCCCTTTAAATTTTATCTGTTGCTGTTACCTCTTGAAATATGATTTATTTAGATTGCTAATCCCACTCATTCAGGAAATGCCAAGAGGTATTCTGTGGGGAAATGGTGCCTCTTACAGTGTAAATTTTCTCCTTTACCTTTGCTAATATCATGGCAGAATTTTTCTTATCCCTTGTGAGGCAGTTGTTGACTGAGTTTTCATCCTTACAATCCTGTCCCATGGTATTTAACATAAAAAAAAATAAAACTGTTAACAGATTCTTGCTCGGTAGCTTGTCTGTGTCTGTCTTGTCATTAGAGGGGATCAGGGAGTTCACTGTATGGTGATTTGAAATTTATAATGCATCATTTTCTCTCATATTGAAGCCATTAGGATATTACAGTATTTGCAATTAAAAGTTCTCATTCTGTTAAGGAAAGGAATTGATTAAATTTTAAGCCACTTTTGGTATTTTGGAAGATGATAAATCAGTTTGTTTCCAAGATAATAGAAAATAAACAAATGCTATAAGAATAGAAGTGCTGTAATTTCAATGAGCTTATGTGTATGATGTGGCTGTATTGCATCCAATTTACCCCATTCTTATCAGGTTCTTTTCATATCTTCTCAAGGAAGACTTATTAACTCCTTGATTTTAAAGTACTTCTTAACCAGCCTAATTATTTGTACTATTTTGTAACATTTCACAATAATAATTAAAATTAGACGTTTTTTCCTGCCCAATTTGACACCCATATTTCCATTATGGAAATTTGGTATTACTGAGCAAGCCTTGGGAATTCTCTTTGAAAAATGACTTTATCTTTTGCAAATCTATCTGTTAACCATGTGAAACACATTTTCAGTATAAATATGCATTATAGGGTCTGATACTTTGCTGCACTTAGTCTTATGTCTTCATTTATTTTATTCACACTAGGATAGGAAGTTTTGGAACCAGAGAAAATAGATTCAGTTGTCAACTGTGTACAGTCTAATAAAAGTTAATTTTGATTCTTAAAAGTAGATGTTGGCAGTTTTGTGAAAGATGTAGAGTACTACCTGAAAGGGAAATTGGATTTTGGGACTTGATGTGGTGCAGTCAAGTATGTTAGGCCCAGGTCTGTGTACACATTTTATAAAAGAGTGAAATGTTCTAAAGTATTTTTGTTGCCTTTTCATTTCAACTGTGTTTTGAATTTGTCAAATCAACATGTATTGTGTTACTGTGTGCTATGATATCTTTTATAAAACCTCATGCTTGTGTGCAAAAGTTACTAAAAACCAACACAAGTAATACCTATCCATTACTAGCATGCTACTGCAGGTAGTACTTCCATTGCTGTATGCTTTACTGTCCTTGTAAAAATACCCCCCCTTTTCCGATAACTGGAAAAGCATGCTAAAAAAAGTCTTATATTTTGATCCCATAAATGCAGAATCAATAATTCCTTGGCTTAAAGCTGTCTCTACATAATCATTATTGGTGATAAGTATCAAGCTTGATATAGTATCTTTAAAGAAAATTTAAGTTCTTAAAAATTTAGCAAAATCCCGTTTTATGGGACTGCTTCTTAGAATCCATTTTGTTCTACCCCCTTGTTTTATAGTTGAGGAATCTGAGGCCTTGTGAGGGTTAAGAGAAATTTCCCCATGTCTCACAGATAGGTAGAGGCAGAACTAGAAATTTGGTCTCTTGACTGAAGCTCAGTGTCTTTTCTGGTAACTTTGTAAAAATTTGTCTTAATTTGACAGATGACTGAAACAATGAGCATAAGATGCTATTTAATAAGTGTATGTGAAATTTCCTATCATAAGACTATTTATAGGCTACTGTTGAATAGTCTCATGTATACATTTGGTTTTAGTGTTTAGCCTAGAAATGCCCCCCACATTGATAAATATTTTAAAATACAATGTATTTTTAGGTAGGCATTTTACAAAATGCATTATGCAATGGTTGGTTTTGAGATAGATATTATTGTCTGGGTAGCATCTTCAGAATCTTCAAAAGTATATGTGGGCTTCTTAACTGCTTTGCATATCAGGAGATGTTCTGATTGTATAGGAGATACTTGGTTTCTGTTCGTTTTAATTGCTGTATGACATGTGATCAGATTATTTTACTACCAGCACTTATACTTTGAAAGAGTCCAACTGTATTAATTGACTGATAATATGTAGATTAAATTGTTTGTCTTCATTCCTTACATGTTTAGAATTTTTTGCTTTGTCCACCTGCTTACTTGTGTATGTAAGCGTGAGAGAAGTACACTGTTGCTAATACTGAAATTACAATCAAGTAACTAAGGCCTTAAGTTCATATGTGACACTAAATGCACTACATTCCTTCACTTTTTTCTATAATTAATGTAACTTAACTTTGCCCATTCTTGTATTTTTAAGAAACAAATTTAAGAATTGTGTTCTGAGTATGTGATATGTTACCTGGGGGGTGGGGGGATGACACTTGGAGAAAAATACATATAATTAGAAACTTTGGTCAAAGAAAACTAATCTTAATTTCTCCTTCAAGTATCTTAGCTCAGAAGTTCTCTTAAAATTGATATTATTTGGGAATTACTTTTGGACTGTAATCTTTCAAATTATACCACTTTGAAAACAAATTTTAGTAATAAAGTAAAGAAAGAAAACTGTTCCTGAAGGTATATCCCCAGATTGTGATCTTCTGTCACTTCAGAAACATTCAAGTAATAGTTTCGTAGAGCTTTTGCACATTCCTATTCAGTGGTTTTGGTGTGTGCATAGATTTTTAAAAATTGACCTTTATGAGAATTAGGGAAGGATCAGTGCTTACCATATGAGGGAAAAACCCTAAATCAGAAGGTAAATAAATGATCTTTATTTTCTAGCTTTCAAGAGAGGTTAAACTATTGCGTGAATAAATAAATTGTTTTAAAATGTGATGAAGTGTCATTTTCCTTTCCACAACACAAAAAAATTTATTTCAACAGATTGCAATGGTTTGCATATTTATATTGTTGAGCATTAGTAGCTAATCATTTGACTGGGACTTGAATTCTTATGACAGATAGTGTTTTGCATAGTGACCTATAGGTTAAGTATGTTTTAGTCAATGAGGACAGCTGGTTTTTCATTTCCATATTGGATGGCCTGCTGCTGGTAGAAGCCATGCTTCTGGGAAGTTCTGTGCAGAAATGGTGGCATCTTGGTGATGCCCAGCCAGCTAGGGGGTGATGCAAAAAAGTACATTTTTAAGGAAAAAAAAATTATCTTTCTCTTTCTACATTTCTGGTTGCAGAAATGTGTGCATTTTTGACAATTTGGAAAATTATAAAAAATAATTTAAAATTCTGTCCAGCAGCATCAATTGCTAGGAACATTTCATCTATTTCCCTATAATGCTCTTTAAGCATCATAAATTACAATGTATCCTATTTTTTCAACTTAAAATAATTTCTCAAGTTTATTGGAAACCAAGTTTAAGTGACAGCAAAAGTTTTTTTGCTTTACTTTTACAGTCACTTTCTTAAGGTTATGGACACTTGATAATGTAACACTTGATTGGCCTGGCCTCTTAGTAATTCCCTTTCTGCATATCCTATTATCACATAATGCATATCCTCTTATCACATTTCATTTGTTTTGAAACTCAATTTCTTCCAGCTCCTGTATGTAACATCCATCTTGAAAGAAGGTGCAGGGAACTATTAAGATAACCATCTGTTTTGTTCTTAGCAGTGGAATTCAACTATGACACTACATTAACTCATGATGAGCTTAAAAACATAGGCTGGGTGTGGTGGCCTGTAGTCCCAGCTACTTCGGAGGCTGAGGCGGGAGGATCTTTTGAGCCTAGGAGTTCAAAGCTGCAGTGAGCTATGATAGTGGCATTGCACTCCAGCCTGGGCTACAGAGTGAGAACCTGTCTCAAAACAAAAAAACATGACAGATGCTGATACCTGAACAGCACCCCCAGAGTTACTGATTTCTTACGGGGTGGAGACCTGGGATGACATGTATTTTTTTAAGTTCCAGACATCTTAATCTGCCACTAGACAACTGCTTTATGGGCATTTTAAGTGCCAAAGGTATATAAACAATATATTTAATTAAGATTTTAGGTTCTGCGATACAAAGAAACTTCTGAGATTCTTGTTTATTTTCCCTTGAAAACAAATCGCAGGAGTCACTGTAAGATACTGCTTAATGCGAAAGCTATGTTTGTAAAGTTAGGATTGCTAGAACAGCAGTAAAGGTGGTTTTGTTTTTAGAAACAGGATGTTGCTCTTTTGCCCAGGCTGGAGTATAAGTGGTGCAATCTGCTCACTGCAGCCTTGAAATCCTGGGCTCAATCAAGCCTGCTGCAGCCTCCTGACTGGCTGGGACTGTAGTCACTAATTAAAAATTAATCACTATAGCTAATTGAAATTTTTTTTTTTAGAGATTGGGGTCTTGCTGTGTTCCCCAGGCTGGTCTCAAACTCCTGGCCTCAAGTGATCCTTCCACTTCAGCCTCCCAAAGTACTGGGATTATGGGCGTGAGCCACTATGCCCAGCTCTGTAAAAGTTTTGAACTAGTAAATAAATGTGAGCTGCTAGTGCAGAAATAACCAATTCGAGAAATTTTATGGGCTTCAGTTTTAATTACCATTTTGCTCACAATCTAGAGTAGTAAGTACCCACTAAGAAATTTATTTTGTCCATTATATATTTCTCAGAGCATAAGGTGATTTTTAACTATAATACGGTTTTAAGATGCTTTTCACTATGTGCTGGGTCTAGTTTTATGTCAACTCTAATCCTTACAGGCATGAGATAGATACTTACATGGGGCAGGGCAGACAGGTTTAGAGGTTAAATTTGCTCAAGTTTACACAGCTGGAAGTAACAGAAAAAGGAGTAGGTTCTAGATGTCTGATCTTATAGCCCAGGTTCTCAACCTTTGTAACCTACCATTGTACCCTGGTCCAAGTCAAATACTGTCTCTTCTTAAAATATAAGTATGGTAATTTTGTGATGCCTTTGATTACACTTTAATGGCAGTCCTGATACTTCTTTGTGAAAAATCCTCAAGACTTTTGGCCTTAAATATTTGAAGACTTCTTTCCCCTTTTATCTCCCAAAGAAATGTGAGAAGAAATAAACTGCTGCCCATTAACAATGTCAACACCTGAATAAAATCATCAACATTTCAAAGCAAATCTATTGATGTGTAAGAAGACTATAGAATTTATGGAAATGGCTTTTGTGACCTTCAAGGCGGGAGAACAGTGTGACCTCAATCTTTTCTATATGGTCTTTTAA